ATAATAAAGTCATTAAATGGTCATTTGCTTGGGGACCGTCATGACTTTCAGCACACAGCTCCATCAAGCAGCCATCCCTACGAAGAGCCTCCATCTGCCCATACCAGCTCAGTGTTGATTTTATCCTTTTGTGGGTATTTTGTATTTCGTTTCTGGCTTTAAAAAGTGATTTTAAAAACAAAAGCAAAAACCAACATCTTGCCTTCCTTCTTTCTACTCCTTATTCCTGAACGGTGCCCCCTCCCTTTCTGCTCCTGCCTACCTTTACAATTTCTGGCACATATGTTCTATGCTGGATGCCAGTTGTAGGTCAACAGATGTTGTCGTGAAAAATAAGAACGAGGAAATTAGAAAATCTCACTGCTTTGCAATGTTTATTAGCACAAAACTGCGGCAAAATACTTTAGTAGAGAGGCTCTTGTGGACGTTCTACTCATTGTCTTGGGGACTTAATTCTTACCACGAAGTGGATTGCCCTGTGTAGATCTGTTTAATTAAGATCTGTTAAGAAATGTGCTTTTGTGACTTAAAAAAAAAAAAAAAAAGGCTGCGACTCTGGGATGATTCCTGAGCTGACTGTCAAAACACTAAGAATTTAAAGAGTAGTAAGACTCAGAGTCATCTGGTGCATAGTCCAATCTCTTTCCTGATGTAGAGATCTTTTTAGCAGTAACATGTATCCTTGAGTTTGGGAGTTGAAGGCACGTTAGAGACATAACAGTCTAACCCCCTACAATGTACAACCCAGGGTAGAAATTCTCTTTAGAACATTCTAGTTAGATGGTTGCTTAGCAACTGCTTATTAAACTTTCCAGGATAGAAGCATGGACAAGGCATACCATGACGTTTGGGAAAATCTCAATATTTAGAAACAAATTAATTTTAGAGAGCTGATTCCTAGTCTTTGATAAATCCACATACTGGGTTCTGGAGTCACACAGAAAAAAGCTGACACTCCTTTAGCACACCAGTCTCTCAGATGGCTGAAGTCCACTGGTACAGCTCCTGAGAGCGCCCTCTACTTCCAGATCAAATACCTTCACTCATTTATCCACCATTGCTCTATCATCTTGCCACCATGTTGTCTTCATGGGTAAGCCACAGACCAGTGGGGCTCTTCTGAAGGAAGGTGCTCAGGTCTGAACACCCACTGGGTGTGACCTGATTTGCAAAATGTATCCTTTCTATGGGATAAAAATGTACACCAAATTGCTACATTACATTGACAACATCCTTCTTACAGACAGTTACAATTCTGTCTAAGAACATTTCCAGGGAAGAAATGCTCTACTAATGAATTCACGCTTCTTTGTTGGCTGTGGGCTGTTCTTTCTGATTCTCATTTCCCTTCAAACCCACTCCTTCCTTGCTAGATAGCTGTTTGGTTTCTTTTGAGGGAAGGACAAGTTTGTGAAGTGGTACTCTGGTAGTTCGACACTCCAGTGATTGAAGACTCAATATTAAAGAAAAGAAGAGACAAGATAAAAGGCAGAGATTTTATGGACAGAAACACATTTTAAAAGCCTACTGTAAGGTGCTTGACAAAGACAGTAGTAAAACACCACAAGTATTAGGTAAACCAGTTGGTAGCCCTTAAAGACACTCTGAAGCAGGAAAAATTGAGATGTTTTACAGATAATCCAAGTCCCTCACCACCTAGGAACATCCTGTCTTCAGTTTCTTTTTAAACTCAATTTTACGACAATTATAGACAAAAAAATATGTGTTGGAGAATTACCCTACAAGAAAACATAATTAAATGTTGACAATGATTAACTTATGAGTCATGTTTTTCTAATTATATTTGTATTTGTTTTTTGAACTTTCTTTTTTGAATATTTGTTATTTTTGTAATAGGAAAAATATTTACTTTGGAAAGTGTAATGGCCTTTTTATGGACTTCTCTTCAGCCTAAGGTGATAAGCTCTTATATAACATACACAAGCATATGGGAAAATCATGGGCACTAACAAAAAAAGCTTTCAGAGGGAAACATGTTTTTGAAAAATTTTTTAACTCTGCAGTTTTAAAAATATTTCAAACCTTCCCTTTGCTAAACAGGAAAATTCTTTGAAAACTGGCTAATGATCTCAAAAACAGTTCAGACAGATTTATAGGAAAAAATATTTGGATCCCATCTTAAAATAGTTTCTTTGTAAATAAAAAGCCTGAAATATTTTTGACTCCAGACTCAAGTAATTTCAAAAGTGTTTTAGATTAGTTTGCTCTGTAAAGGGGTGCCTTAAGTTTTTAGAAGAAATCTCGCTCCAGAACCTGATGCGATTGTCCCATCTGACTCTAAATTTCCAAAAGTAAGATGGCTCCTACGAAAGACGCATGATTTTCAATTTGAGGCTGATGTTCCGGAGAGCAATACTGCTCTAACTGCAGGGTCTGCAAAGATAATAGCTTGCTGAGCCAACACTGGCCTCACCCACAGTCACCAACGCCCCCACCGTGTGCCTCATCCCATTACCATAACCCTCATCTGTTCTCCTTGAATTGGAACGAAGGGAATGGATTTCCGGGTCTGGGAAAGCATTTCTTACTTTCTTTATCTGCATCCTGAGGGGTTTGAACTAAATCCTTTCCAAGACCCCTACCAGATATAAAATTCTGAGCTGCTTACATTGCAACGTATAATTCTGGAATTGCTCACAGACACATGTGCCTAGAATCTTCGAGCAAAACGCCAGAACGGAAGGTCAGAGTGTGTGAAATCATGCAGTTTTTAATCTTTGGCATTTGTAATGTATATCATCATCAGAACAACTTCTGTTTCTTTAACTTTGTCTTATACAAATAAGGGGGATCTTGCTCTTGCAGATTTCTGAGGCATCTTTATATTCACTCTCTTTTTTATCCTTACATTTCTTTCTCTTTGATTCACTCATGGTTTATACTTTTTATCCCATTTCTTTCCTCTTCTTTGTCCTCTTGTTTGAACTCTTTGCTTGCCATGATGTTTTCTACTGGAGATTTTGTGAAATTAGTTGTCCTGAGAATAGAATAAACACCAAGAGAGTACTGGCATTCTTGGGTTTAAAAAAGAACATTAATTTTCGCTGCACTAAATGAAAACATCCCAACTGGTGAATCTGTACTATTTCCTGTTTGTGTAATGAACGTGCCATCCCGACTGTCCTGGTTCACTTTGCTGTCTTCCCTCCCACTCCTCGGGGATGTCCCTTGTACTGTCACATTCCCCTGAAACCTCCTTTCACATACAGACCTGACGTTCTGTATGCATTCCATGCTACATAAGGCCTGATACTTACACTATCAAAATGTTGCTTGGAGAAAAGCTCCTGGATTCCTAAATTATTTTATTACTTATATAGTCAAATCAAAATAACGCAAAGGAAAGAAGCAAGGACGGTCCTGCATTTGGAAAATGGAAGACACCCTCCCCTTTTTCCCCATCCCCACATGTCTAGAGTCTAGACAGTGACTGGGCAATTCAAATGGGCTTACACAGAGGTTTAGAAATGTGGAGGTGGCTGAGGGCGAGGGATAATCCAAACTGTCTTCTAAGTGACTTTGAGCAAAACAGCTTGAGCTAAAAAGAAAATTATGTTGAGTGAAAAGTTCAATAGCTAATTCTGTCAATCTAATGGAACAGGCCATCGGAAGACAGCAAAAAACCAAAATGAAAAATGGCTGGAAAATGACTAATTTGATGACATTTGTAATTTTGTAGTTCAGTAGTAAATACAGGGTGGCAATACATAGATTGATTTTATTAGGATAAGAGAGCAAGAAATCTTGAAATTCAGAAAAAAAGTCATAAATACTTTCCTAGAATAATCTAGAACACATGTCTCCAAACCTCTCTTCTTATACAAGCTTCATCACTGAAAGGAATTTCTAAATTAGGAATTTTTAGGAATATTTTTCAGAAATATACTTGGTAGAAGTAGTGATAGATGGGTGGGGGGGCATTAGTGAAAACTTGCTAAAAAAAAATTTTTTTTATGATGTTATGTTAATCACCATACATTACATCATTAGTTTTGATGCAGTGTTCCCTGATTCACTGTTTGCCTGTAACATCCAGTGCTCCATGCAGTACGTGCCCTCTTTAATACCCATCAAAAATAAAAATATTTTTCAACTGGGTCTTTCTTTTAAAGAACAGGTTTGTACCTTTTAGCCACCTAGAAAATGTCTAATGCCTAACCACTCAACAGCTACTTTTGTTTTCAAATGACGAATTGGGCATATGATCCTCGAGCTGTATATCGGAAGCTCCGTGCCGTGAGCACACTGAAAAAGAAAAATCTTGAAATAACACATTTAAAATGTCTTCCTCCCACACCCCCTCCCCAAACTCAGCCTCGTTTCAGAAAACTGAGAGGGATTCTGGTGAGAGGCACGCTCTTCCAGGGAGGAGTGCCCCTTACATTCTAAGCACAAGGACAAAGCCTGTTTTCATGGATTACGTACACTTAATAGGTCCTGAGACTATTGGAAAATCTCCAAGTCGGTACTGACTGCCAAGATGATTTCCAAACTCCTGGTGCTTTCAGGCTCCTCATGATGCACACGACAGGAGGTTCCAGCAGTGGACACCTATGGCTCGCGTTGTGCTGTAGGACCCTGGTGACAACATAGTTTTCGTGCAGACACCAAGGCTTCACTTACTTTGTGGGTCTGAAAAGGCCAGCCTTCCTGTCCCATTATCCACTGAGATGAACTGCTGTTTCAAGGTTGTGACAAATGACAGAAGGGCTCAGAACTGGTCAGCTTGTGCCTCTTCCTTGTCCATCTGACACAGACGGTTTCTAGAACGTATCGCCTGCCAGTAGGCATTTTATCCTTGTGGATTCAGCGTCATTCCTGAACTAGCCCTTGCATCTCCTTTCATTCTCCAAGGGAAGGTAGCATCCTGGGTCCTCAGAGTTTACAGCTTTATTGCGGTAAAGAGGAGGAGAAGAAGTGGGGGACAGAAGTGCCTCTGGGGGATTCTCTTGTTCTCATTCAATCCTGAATTGAGAGCAGTTGCCTGGGAAACAAAACCTAAAAAAAAGTATCATTTTTTTTTTTGCATGCATCTTCAAATCTTCCAATGGCAGGATGTGCTTCTGGGTTTGAGAGGAAGCCCTTCAGTTCTTAAGGCCCAATGAGGTGAGATTTATGATCTGCCCAACCCAGCTAAGTGAACCACAGATACTTTCTATCACCCTGCTAATCAACTAGAACATGTATATGTGAAAAACAGAAAGAGAAAAGGTTTAATTATTCTCTGGTTGTCTGAGTTAAGGGGCATCGGAGAGCAGCAGAGAGGATGCAGCAATGCAATCAGAAGACTTGTTCTTGGAACATGCCTCTAAAAGGTAACTTACGTTTGCACTTGGGCTGTGTGTCACAAATAAACCTCCCAGGCTCAACCGCTACAGCTAATAATTACCTGGGCTTGTAAGAGTGTATCTTAAGGCTATTGGTCAGTATCTTTGAACAAACATTTATTGAGTTCTGATGTCACCAGTGTCGGGGTAGGAAAAAATTTTCCTTTATCCTCTTATGTTCAGTGACCGGCGCCTGTGAATTAAACTGACAAAAGACAGAGAAATAGGAGAAAAGGTTTATTTTGTTTGTACATGGGAGCTTCACAGAAAAGAGGTGAAAAATGAAAGAAGCAGTTTGGCTTGAGAGTTTATAGGCCATTTTAACAGAGGGTGATAAGTTGTGGAGAAGTGACTAGACAAAGGAAAAGGGATTTGGCTTCTAGGGGCAGTAAATATATGGGGGAAACAGCTGGAAGATAAACAGTTATTTAATAATATTTGTTATGCAGACTCAAGTTGGTGTGTCCTCTGTGGTTACGAAGACCCATTCTCTTCTTCCTGCTATAGGAGAGGGAGACACTTTTACACATGGAAACATATGCTCTGCTTTTAGGCAGAAAAGAGGAGGGCAGCCTGTTCCTCCCGAATCTGCTGTTTCTCAGTTGCCTTAAGCTCAAAATAATCCTTATACCAAAGTGGCATATTTTGGGGTGGCATGTCCTGATCCCCTTCATTACCATCTCATTAGCATACTGCTGGGATTTTTTTTTTTTCTGGCCCTCCTATGCATAGGCCAACTTGATCCATTCCTGATTAAACGAAGGCATTAATTACAAAAGCAGTCGTTTTTGCATTGAAAGCATCAAAGAAAGGTACTAATTTTTCAGGCATCTTACCAGCTCAAGTATATATATTTACTAGGACTTCATTTCCCTTCAGAAATACATTCAGTAGAAATGTTGACTATGCTAGAGATAATCATCATCATGAGTGTGTGTGCGTGCGTGTGTCTGCCACCAACTTTGTGAACACAAAACGAATGTTTGGAGTGGAAATTACACTTCCCTTCTAAAGGGTAGTATTAGGCATTTTATTCCTCAAACACATAATCAAGTAACAAGAAAGCCTCAACAAGTCTGTGGGAGGGGAGGGCCAATACTTTGCTGATTTTAGTATCATATGAGTTACATAAACAAAAGGCATTTATCTTGGGGATGGTCCCAATAATTAATTCATTATTAAATAAGTAACAATTTGCTCTTTTGTGAGCAGTGCATTTTTTTTCATGTTCCCGGTCTTTTTAAAAAATTTTTATTTATTTATTTATTTGAAAGAGAGTCTTTCTTAAAAATTTTTTTCTTTATTTATTTGAGAGAGAGAGAGAGAGAACGTGAGCAGGAGGGAGGGGCAGAGGGAGAAGGAGAAGCAGGAAGCCTGACCAGGGCTGGATCCCAGGACCCTGGGATCATGATGTGAGCCGAAGGCAGACGTTTAACCGACTGAGCCACCCAGGCGCCCCATGTTCCCAGAGACTTAGGCACAGACCAGGAGTGCTCTAAATTAGCACACAGTTATATAGTTTCTTCAAGAGCAGGTGACTTGCTTTCAGATGAACCCCGCTTCCTCTGCCTGGTATTTATTTACTTCTTACCTCCCAACGTCCAAATCCAATCCACTGCTTCACACCTATTTCAAATGCTGTCTCAAGCATAACTTCCTTTGATGCCTCTCTACTCTCTTTGAACTGCCATGGCAGATAAGTTTTTCTCTGTCTCTCTCACAAAACTATCACTGTCTATCACGCTTGTCACTTATTTGCCTGCCTTATATCTTCTACCAAAGTGTGAGCTCCTGAAAACAGAACCAGAGACTAGCACCATGCCTTGACCAGAGCAGTGCTCAGTAAATTTTTCACAAATGAATGAAAAAGGGGAGATAATACAGTGAGCTCTTGATTATTCTTGGTTTGATTAGCCATTCTGTTGATTATGTTTGGAAAACCTTGCATTCACTTATTTTCAATTGGTAGATGCTTGAGGAACATGATTTAATGTTAATAACAATCTGAGCAAAATAAAAAAAAGCACAGTAAATCTTAGGCAACATCACAAACAACAAACCCAAACACATAATTTGGTGCAACGTGAAATATAAATAGTTTTGCGATTGTTCTCTGCTTTTGGATTACTTATTGACTGATCTCTCTGTAGGCAGGGAGGCATACAAGTTGATTGTGGTATATGGGCAAGTTGGGGAAGGGAACAATCATCTTGGAACTTAAAGAGATAAAACTCTTTTCGAAGGACTGCTTGCATTCAGTGAATAAAATGGTTCTGACTTACCAACATCAACAGTGTGATCAGGAATTACCCAAATGGCACCTTTCTGGAGAGAGCTGGAGATGTTTGGGCATCTTCACAAATTTTTTGAATATCAAGAAAGGAATTGCAGGGAACATTTCTGACACACAGGGAAATAAAGCCTTCATATGAATTTGAATGGAAAGGGTAAATTTCCTAATCACCTCATAGTTGCCAAGAGAAATAAGCACTCAGATGGTGTAACCTGTTTTAAAGGAAAGACCGACAAAAAAATAAATAAATAAATAAAGGGTAGATCAACAGACTTGTTTTTAGGTAATAAAGAAGCCATCATAGAGATCCAAAACAAAATCTAATAAAAATAATAAGAACTGCTAAGCACAATAACAAGAAAAAAAACCACATAGAACACATAACCAATTCCATAAAAAGATGGCCATTCTCTATTTCAATAGAATGACAATTCACTTTGTACAGAGAGTATAGCTTCTCTGTCAGTCAAAGAAAGTAACCAAAATATTGACCTTTACCAGTTCCCTGCAGATTAGGAAAGCTGTTTCTTGTAATAAAGAGTCTGGCCCTGAGAAGTTGAATTTGCAGCAAATCTGCGAACTTAAACTTGTCCTCATATTGGAGAATTGAGAAATTAAGGAGGTTATGCTCTTCATCCCAACATCCTTTCTGTTGTAGAGTGGATGGGTCAACACAATACTCTCCTCTTATCAGTGAAAAATGATGTGAATTGCAAATTCTACCCCATGTAGGCTTCCGATGACTACAGAGCTGACCCTTGAACCACACAGGTGTAAACTGCATGGGTCCATATATGCAGAATTTTTTCGATAAACACGATACAGTATAAATGCATTTTCTGTTATGATTTTCTTAATAACATTTTCCTCTAGCTTACTTTATTGTAAGAATACAGCATATAATACATACAACATACAAAAGATGTGTTAATCAACTGTTTATGTGATCGGTAAGGCTTTGGGTCAACAGTAAGCTATTATTAGTAAAGATTTTGGAGAGTCAAAAGTTATACACGGATTTTTTTACTGCATGGGGCATCAGCACCCCTAGCCCCCCACATTGTTCAAGGTTCAACTGTATATTAAATTCTTAGTTGTTGCCATGTACAAGATGATCTCTACGGTGGGTTCCATAACTCTGTAGGTGAGTCTTACTGCCTCCAGGCTTGACATTCTGTTTTCAGCGGGGGTTCCCTTGGATCCAGGAAAAGCCCGGTTGTAAGCATCAGCCTGGACTACTTACTAGGAAGCCACTAGCCACATGTGGCTAGTGAGCCCTGGAAATGTGGCTGGCCTGAACTGAAATGTGCTGTCACTGTGTAAAAACACAAGCCAGATTTTGAAGACTTAGGCTGAAAAAAAAGAACGTAAAATATCTCAATATTTTTTATGCTGATTGCATGCTGAAATGACAAACTTGGAATATATTTGATTACAGAAAATACATTATTCAAATTAATTTCACCTGTTTCTTTCTACAGAAATGTGGCTTTCATGTGCATGGCTTACTGTGACTATTTGAATTGAAAATTACATCTGTGCCTGGCATTCATGCTCACGTTCTATTTCCAATGGATAACTCTGGTAAAGGGGCAAGACCTTTCTTTCAAAGAAAGGCCTGTGGCCACGTACAGGCTCCAGCCCGTGATCTTCAAAATGCTCAGGGATAGGACCAAGAGGCTCTGGGAGATTCTATCGGCATTTGGGAATGTGTGTGAGTTGCAAAGCCAAAGATAAAATAGTAATATCTGGTCTTGAGACATATGCTCCTCCAATTTCTTTGAGGCTGAAGTGTGGACTCCTTAAAACAACACTGTATGAAGATATTTCTGTAAACAGCTCCAGTCCTTCAAAAACAGTTCCTTTTGGCTGGGGTCTTTTGGGCTTGGAATGTGGCCTTCCACTCGTGCCATAAATTTACTGTCCTAAGGAATGAGGCTTGAACGTTGTATATTCATTAGAATAAAAATGGTACCATTGATGTTAAACATTATGAAGTTGTTGCTAAATCCAGTGATGAGTCAGGGCCCCAAGGAAACAACTCTAAGTGTCATTAGAGATTCCTTCATTATCTTTCTCTCATTACATTTTTTCCTCTGAATAAAACTCCCTGTGAGAAACCCAATACCTTTAGTAGACAATAATATTATTTAGGTGCTGTCTTAAGCCCGTTTGGGCTGCTATAACAAAGTACCAGAGACTGGGTGATTTATGAACAACAGACATGTATTTCTCGCCGTTTTGGAGTCCAGACGTCAAGGTCAGGGCACCAGAGTGCTCAGATCATGCATGCTGAGACTCCTTTTGTGGGCTGCAGACGGCCAGCTTCTCTTTGTGTCCTCACACAGTGGAGACAGAATGCATAGCTCCCTGGTCTCCGGTTGGCACTGATCCCACATCCTGGGGGCCCCACCCTCGTGACCTTATCACCTCCCAAAGGCCCCACCTTTATCTTTGGCTTTGCAACTCACACACATTCCCAAATACCATCACATTGGGGATTAGGTTCCAACAAATGAATTTTGGAGGGACCCAAACATTCAGTCCATAATAATTGTCTACTTTTTAAAAGCAATTTGTAATCTGTATTTTCATAAAGACTATCCTATTTGAATCATATGAAAGTCCTATGAGGTCTTTAGGATGGATATTATGGGCCCTATTTAATGGACAATGTCACTTGAGCTTTGATCCATTTCTCCTACTTAGTAAAGGTGAAAATGGAAGCAGGACTTTGGCCTCAGTGGGCTTTCAGTTTGGTGGGCTGCCATATTGCGGTGGTTAAGGATAAGGCCATATGGTTGAACTGGATCCTAATCACCCACTTACTCACTACACTGAGAGGTGAACTGTACTGAACCTCTCTGCACCTCAACCTCCTTATCCATAAAATACCAACAACTATTACACCTTCCTCCTGAGAAAATCAGGGGGAATAAATAACCTAACACCTATTTCACAGATGGAGAAATAGAAGCCCAGAGATGTCAAGTAACTGGGCCAGGCCACATAGCTCAGCAGTGGAAGATCCAGGTTTGAAATGAAGTCTAACTCTAAAACCTGTACTCTTTTTTTTTTTTTTTTCCTAAGTGGGGCTATCAAAGTTTTGCTTTATTTTTCACTTCTTGGCAAGCATAATGAATTTGCTAATTGATGTGGACTCACTGGGGCACAATGATAAATCCACCTTCAAATCCAAGTTTGGACCAATTCTTGTTCTGTCCCAACAGCGTCTATAGCCTTCTGATCCTTCTTTTTTTTTTGTTTTTAGCTTTATTGTGGCAGAATTAACAAATAAAATGGTAAGATATTTAAAGTGTACATCATAATGATATACAGTGTGAAAGGTTTTCTCCCATCTAGTTAACAGATACTTCACTGGTTTAGTTAGTTTTTTTCAGTGAGAACATTTTTTATTCTCTTAGCAAATTTCAATTCTACGATACAGTGTTATCAACTATAGTCACTATGTTATACATTGGATCCTCACACCCTATTCATCTCATAGATGAAATTTTAAGACAGTATAAGAGGTTTTACCAAGCTCCCCCTCTATCCCCTACACTCCCACTCCTTGGCAACCACTTTTCTATTCTCTGCTTTTATGAGTTGGAATTTTTTTTTTTTTTTTTTAGATTTCATATATCAGTGATATCATGCAGTATTTGTCTGTCTCTGCTGTCTCTGTCTGGCTTATTTCAGTTTACATAATGCCCTTAAGATCCATCCATATTTTTGCGAATGGTCAGATTTCCTTCTTTCTCGTGGCTAATATTCTATTATAAAGATAAAGATCTATACAGAGAGATATATAAATCTATATCAATATTTCTATATATCACATTGTCCTTCTCTCTTCATCCACTGACAGATTGTTTCCATGTTTTGGTTACTGTGAATAATGCTGCCGTGAACATGGGATGACAAATATCTCTTTGAGGTCGTTTTCATTTCCTTTGGGTCTATACCCCAAATTGGGATTGCTGGGTCATATGGAAGTTCTATTTTAATTTTTTGAGGAACCCCAATTCACATCCCCATCTGGTCCATTTTAGTCACAAGAATGTTCCAGTTTCAGCAGTTAAAACATCCAGCTCAACATAACACATACTCAGAACTCTTACTCCATTGGGAGCCTCTCTTTCCCTTGGTGCTACTCAGACCAGGAAGCCTGAGGTGGAGCAGGGTGCAGTGTCCCTTTTACTTGGTTAGTCCCCTCCTACCCTGTCCCCACACTCATCCCCGGCCCAATCGGGGAAGGGGAGAGGATTGGGAGGTGAAGTGGTTGGTACCATATTGATCCAGCATCCACGCTCTCTGGTTCACGGCTGTCCCCAGCAGACTGTGTCACGAGGTTCCTGTGTGGGTTGTGTAGAACCGTTGTTCCTTCTTCCTGGGCCTCAGCAAGGCACCTTTTCCTGGGTCACTTTCCCTAGGCACTTCTCTTGGACTGAGTCTCCTGGCTCATGGGAACCCTGGGCTTCCTGGCATCACCTCCATCCCTGGGCAAGCACAGGGACCTCCTACTACAGCTCCGCCTCTTTCGGTCGTTTATTGCCTTGAGCACTGCCATCACCTTTATATTCCACGGGCGGGCATCAGGCACCCATATTCTCTACATCTCCCAAACTCCAGGGGACCCGACTGAAGGTGTCTCCTTGAAGCTCCTCTAAGTTGTCAGGTGGGGAAGAGGTAACCCCCTGAAGAAATGCCAACAATTTTCTCAAAGAATTACCTCCACTCTTCTCTTTGACTTCCAGGTTCCCACACACTCCAGGAGACAGAGGACGAGCAAACCATCCCAACACCTATTTCCAGACCCCACCTTGCAAGTCCTGCATAGGTGGTCTGGATTCAACTTCACTCTGGAGCAGAGGATACTTGACACTTTTTTTCCTGAGGCTCTGGAGGCCTGAGCCACGGTTGAGATGAAATGTCCCTTCCCTTTGACCTACCTGTACCCTGTGTAAAGTACTTGTATCTGTGTCTGGCATATAGTAAGTGCTCAGTTAATATTTGCTTTTATTATTTCCTGAGATCTGCTGCTGTAACTTTGACAAGTTGCCTAAAGTTCACTCTGCTTCAGTGTGTCAGGGTCCTGGTCAGGTGCTCACGGTGGAAAGCCCGGCCCCAGCCCAGACTGGGCAATGATGAATTCCCCAGCTAGTAGCAAGCTTTCTGCCTGTCCTAAGGCCATGGCAGCCCTTTTTAGAACAGACCTGGGGGTGCAGCGCCCTGAGGAATGCGCCCAGGTGAAAAGGTAATTTTGATATGCAAAAGGAAAGCACTGAAAGCTATAAAAGCCTTGATGGAAGAGCATAAAAAAGATGCTCAGCCTACTCTTGATGGGGAGAGGACAGCCCCTCCCACCCCAGGGGCAGGAAACCAGAAGCACAGTCAAGGACAAGCCAGAAGAAGAGTCTATAGAAATCCCAGCCAGTAGGTAGGCTGCAGTCTCTGTATCAAATCATTTCCACACTAAATGGAGAGTAGTAATACAGTTTACTTGGCAGCATCTTTGTTTGTTAAACAAGTTGGGACGAAAGCTGGAGCCTAGATTATTTATCCTCATCTGAAATGTATGAAAACAACACTTAGAACATACTTTTTGGCGTAGACAGGGAGGAGTCCTTAATGAAGCATTTACTTGTGTCTGATTTTTACTTGTTTTTACCAGGTTCATTTAATTTGATAGATGGTCTAAGCCTCAGAGTAATGCCACTGGAATCTCATGAAGATGTGTAAAGCTGGGGCATCTGGGGGCTCAGTCGGGTTAAGCATCTGCCTTTGGCTCAGGTCATGATCCCAGGGTCCTGGGATCGAGTCCCACGGAGGGCTCCTTGCTCGGTGGGGAGATTGCTTCTCCCTCTCCCTCTGCCCCTCCCCTTGCTCTCTCTCTTTGTCAAATAAATAAATAAAATCTTAAAAAAAAAAAAAAAGATGTGTAATGCTGAGGATGCTTCTCACACTGAGACCCAGCCTCTGTGCTTGTGGTAGCCACTGGGGCTTGTCGATGTCAGCTAGGGCTGCCGTAACAAGACATCACGGAAAGAGGGCTTAAACAATAGACACTTATTCTCCAACAGTTCTGGATGCGTGAGGTCCAAGATCAAGGTGCTGGCAGGGTTGATATCTGGTGAGATTTCTCTTCTTGGCTTGCAGATGGCCACCTTCGCGCCGTATACTCACATGGCCTGCCTTTTCTCTGTGAGCGCACATTCCTTCTATCTCTTCCTTTTATAAGGACACCAGTTCTATTCACTCAGGACTCCACTCTTATGACCTCATTTAATTTTTATTACATCCTTAAAAGGTCCTGTCTCCACAAACAGTCACATGGGGGCTTAGCATATGAATTTGAGGGGGACCTGATTCAGTTTGTAACAGAGCTGTGCATAAATGTTCCATTTCTTCTACTGGGCATTTGGGAAGACTGCACGTCCTGCTTCCTTTGAATTCAGATGTGGCTCAGGGGAGAGAGAATACTGTCACTTGCTTTGTTTGATGAAATGGGTGATGAAGTGACATGCAAACAGGGAAGAAGCTTAGATTCTAATCTAAGGCTTAAATTCCCACATTCCCCTCAAAACATCTGTTCTGGTGATGCTCCTGCTTCCAGGGGAGCCTGATGAACAAAGCACCCATGCTGACCAGTGCTGTCCACGTATACAAGAGAGAAATTATAACACACACACACACACACACACTTTTATGGGTGTTTTGCCATTGAAATTTGGGGTTGCTTGTTGCTTGTGCATGACCTAGCCCATCCTGACCTACGCAAAGTCTGAGTATTTGGGGGTTGCTTTTCTTGTGCATGACGTAGCCCATCCTGACTTATGCAAAGGTCGAGTATTCATTTGTTATGACATTTGGGACTTATAAAACCCAACACACACCTTTACATCTTCTCTTCCTAGGCTACGTTGGAAAACAGCATACAACGGTACTTATTCTGGCAACTTATTTATTTTTTGTTCCTTTTCTGAGCATACATGGGCTAATATCTATAATATATGTCATCTAACTTGCTAATTCTCTTACACCAGGTTTTCTCCCAAGCTACAAGCCAACCTTCCTAAATGACTGCCTGGAGTCCTTCCCATCAACTCACTGCTGGTGCCTTCACTTCAACATGCTCAAGAACAAACTTGTTCTACCCCAAACTCTATTTTTACTTTCTCTGGCTCACCACTTTTATGATCATCGCGGCTGCAAACCTCAGAGACACTTTGTGTGTGTATCAGAGGTAGAGGAAATATGTCTCTGAAATCTTTCTATTTTTATAAAAATTGTTTTGGATAATTTCAAACATGTATGGAAGGCAACAGAATTATGCCATGAACCTCTGTGTCCCCATCATCCAGCAACTCATTACCAGCTAATGGCCAATCTTTTTTTGGTTTGTTTCTATATCTACCCCAATCAGATGATTTTGAAGCTATAAATGCTTCAGTATGCATTTCTAAAAGATAGGGACTCTTTAAAAAAATAGCCACAACACTTTATCACTGAAAATTAACAGTATATGCTATTTCGAGTCAATGTTCCTCTTCTACAGTTTGTCAGCTGTCTCATAATTTTGTTGTTGTGGTTGACATCTATGTGATTCAGGTTGAAATAAAGTCCACACACCTCCATCAGCTGATCTGTTTCTTTAATCTATAAATGCTCTGATTCCCTCTCTCTCTCTCTCTCTCTCCCTTTTTCCTTACAATTCATTTGTTGAAGAGCCCACTGTGTTGGTCTTGCAGGGTTTCCCGCAGTTAGGATTTTGTTGACTGGATTCCCAGGAAAGTTTGTTTAGTGTGTTCTAGAGTCTGCATTTCCTATAAATTGATAGTTTGGTAGAGAGGCGTGCTATGCATTATTTGGCAAAGCTGCTGCGTAGGTGATATATTCTATTTCTATCAGGAGGCTCACCATATATGGTCTCTTTCCATGGTATTAGCAGCCATTGATGATTATTGTCTAGGCCAGTGGTTCTCAATCTTGAGCGTGCACCAGAATCACCTGGCAGGCTTGTTAAACTACAGATTGTTGAGGCCTTACCTGAGTTTCTGATTCAGTAGGTCTGGGTTAGGCCCAATAACTCACACTTTTAACAAAAGCCCCCAGGTGATACTGATGTTGCTGGTCCAGTGACCATCCTCTGAGAACCACGGACCTGGAGCTATTATTTTGTTAGGGGTTGAAAGGTAGTGATGTTCTAGTCTATCTTTCCTTATTAATTCATTAACTGGAATACATTTATACAAGAAATGTTCCAAATCATTTACTTGGGTACCTTGGGGTAGAGTTTATGTAAGGAAGGTGCTATAAAGGTTTGATTCTTTCCCTTTATTTACCAGTTTCCAAAGTGGGTTGGATAATATCCTCCAGAGGTAACCAGTGGCTTGTGTGTGTGTGTATGTGTGTGTGTGTGGGGGGGTGTTTCACTCCATTGCAGTTGTTATTTTATTGATATTCAAACTGTCTTGTCTTTAGCCATGGGAACCTTGGAGATGTTTTGAGTCTGTGTTCTTCTTTGTCAAATACCTTGTGGTTGGTCCAGCAGCTACACCCTTGTTCACCACTGTCACAACCCGTGCCCACCCTCCTTCCCACTGCAGCTCATTTCACATACGAGTAGGTGTACTGTAAACCTGTCTTGGGTGAAATTCCAGTCATGTCATTACCTGCTCAAAGAATTCTCAGTAACTCACCAGATTAAATACAGACCTTGGCAGTGGCATATGAGTCCTTCTAATTTTTCTCACTCCTGCCCTGAAATTGGGAAGTCCCACCTCAGAGCCTTTGCTCATCCTGCCTCTCTGCCTCGGCTCTCCCCATTCTCTCTGCTGATACTTCATTCATCCCAAATGCCACTTGTCTTATGGATCTCTTCGTGATGTCTTCAGTTAGGAAGCTGAGCCCTTCTGTGGCATTTGCCTGCATTCTGTACTTCTCTTTAAAGTATTTGCTTAGAGGCTTTGTGTTTTGGTCACTAGCAGGCTTGTTTATTACTCTCTGTAGTAGAAATGGTCTCTTGATTGTTTCACTCAAATTCGTACTTCTGTGGCACCCTGTCCTACAACCTTCCTATTTGTAGGATTATGTTGATATGAAGTATTAGCCATGAACTCAACTAATATTCACTGAAAGAGGTATAGATTTATATATATATGGAAATACTTATATTTACATATATCTTATATCTATGAACTCCAAGGCACAAAAAATGCCCATTTTTTTTTAATCTGAATGTTCAAAGCAACAACATAATTCTTCAGAGAGACAGTTTACAGAGAGCCAATAATCTCCCCATTTCCATTTCAGTAAGTTAGGAGAAAAAATAATTTTCTTCTTGCTCTACCTGCAACTTCCTCTTATGTGAAACACTTAATCTCACTCCAGTCCACAAAGATCTGAACCTCCGTTAATAAATTCGGGTGGCTCAATTTATCTGACATAGTATACACTGCTCTGTCTGGTTACATATCATTTAAATATGTCTGTGTTATGACTGATCCACCAGGCTAAATTTGAAAGATGGGGTTTTTGAAAATCAGCTTTCAGGAATAATAGATGAGAAAACTCACCTACCTTTGTTGTGAGCAAATTGGAGAGAGGTTTCCCACACTTCACGGTGCTGTACCCTGAAAAGCCAGAAGGAAAAATCAGGTGGATAATTTTTATGTCTGTTGCTATGACAACTAACCCAGCCACTTCCGCGAGGATATGGACAATTATGCCAAAGCAGGGATTCTCAGCCTGGAGTCCCCGAGCCACTCTGCCAAGTAAACCTTCCAGATCTCCCGTTGGCAACATGAAAAACAAAATCGAGTGTACCAGAATTCATATCCTGTTCTGGGGAAACACCTGTAAGAGATGCCATAAATGACTCACCGATTAATGCTTGAAACCAGAATAAATTGCCTCGGTGCATTACTATGGCACGAACCATCTGGTTCGTATGGAGGGGCCATACGATTCACAAGTCATACCTAAGATCGCAAGAGGGGAGCTGCTGAC